GATGCCTCCACCTTTCAACATCTTACTAGTTCTTACTGATACACTAGCTGTCCCTCTCACAGCACGCACAGATGATACTCACGACTGGGGTTTATCAGGGGCGTGAGCAGATTACAATTCAGGCTCAGAAATCTTCAGGACACAGTTCTTTGGTCAGGAATGCTTCTTCTCCACCATGCCTGCAGGCTCAGCACCTTTGGTCCTTGGCCTCTTAGCCACATGTCCCTTTGACTTCTGCCGTGCCTGGCAAATGTTACAGAGCTCTTGTAGTGCTGCGGTTAAATATCCAACAGGCTCCACTGCACTAGGGGCATCAACTTGTAGCTGCTCAGCTCTAGCGCTGGGTTACAAACCTAGTGCCCTGATTAAGGGCCTGAGGGAACCCACTCAGCAAGGGAGGGCCCTGCCTAAAGGCATTCAGCTTTCTTGCCCAATTAAGTGGGTTGGGAAGCTGCTCCATCTCGTGCTCCTTGTGTTGGTGGCTCTGCTACCACCACCCCACTGCCACTCCTCAGCGGCCAGAGCTCAAACTCCTGCACTAATGAGGCTTGTTTTAATCTCAGCAGGACTGCACGTTTCCATGCACCCTATTCTTGTGGACCCACCCAGACATGGGGTTGAAAGAGCTGTGTCAAGTAATTCACTGCAACACAGAATCCCAGTATGACACCAATGGCGTGGTTCTGAATCCACCCAGAAGTGCTGCGGAAGAAAGGCCTGGCAATCAATTTTTTGGGGAAAGTTCACAGCCATTGAAAACCCCTGATGCCCAGTTCTGCTCTGACACACATGGGATTGCTACCAGTGGGAGCTGACTTGCTGGCAGCTAGTTTCTTTCTTTCTTTGTTAGCTATTAACTTCATAAGCATTCAAAGTTGTCCATCTCTCTTTACAACCATGGAGCTCACGCTGTTTCTGCTTAAGGCACACGTGGTCTGGTCCCTTGAGTCAGTTCTGCCTCTCAGCAACCTTGTGCACACCAGAACAAACCAATGCCCCTTTCTGTAGCATACGCATCATTGCTGTTATATTTAAAGCTGCTGTCACAGCCCCCATGTCAATGTAGCTCCTGGAGGGGAGGGTCTTCTTTTTCACTGACTGGTACTTTCCCAAACACGATGTCCTTCTCCAGGGATTGGTTCCGCCTGAAAACATGCCCAGTGTACCTGAGGCCAGTCTCACCACTCAGGGTTCCAGCTACACATCCTCCAAGACAGATCTGTTATGCTTCTAGCAGTTCACATCCCTCTCAGTAACCTTCACCAACCTGGATTCTCTCTCTCTAACGTCTACTTTTCCCATCCTCCGTTCTCTGCTCAAACTTC